AAACGACGGACGACGACCCAACTGGAATATGCAAAACTTAGATAAATTGGATCACTTATTACTTATTTATATGTATATTAATATTACTTCTTTTTAAGCAATCAAGCAAGATTCATTGAAGGACTTTTGTGAGTCTCTAGTAGTATATATATATATTTCATATACATACATATATGTATAAACAAGATCTTAAGTTTAGTTAGTTAGTTAGCTCTTGAGTCTAACCATACTGCAATTAGAGTTGAAGCTGCAGCTGAAGTTTGAGCTAGTCATTCGTCGGTTGCTCTTGTTTTCCAATTTAGCTGTGGCCCTTGGCACTCGCAGACCCTCGTCTAGGCCTTCGCCTGTGTGTGTGTTGGGCTGACAGTGCGTGGTTTCTGGCTCAAGGATTTATGGGCTGTGCGGCAGATTTATGTGTTTTTGGCTGTGAAACTGAGAGTGGTCGTGTGAAAGCGACTGGAGAACTGTGCTAATTGAGTAGAGCAATGAATATGACTCAAGCCGTGCCCGCAGGCAGAGGAACAACTAGAGGCCGAGGCAGCGCTCCCAGTGAAGTGCTGCAGTGCAGCAGCGAATGGACACAGTCTTTGATTGGCCAGTGCCAATTGCATGTTGGCGCTGCAGCCAACAACAGGCAGCAACATGCCGCAACCGCGCTCGACTGCTGTTAACAGCCGGCGGGAGACCGACGCCTGCGCGCCGCAACGTAAACAAATGTTAAGCCAGATGCCGGCTAGTGTACCCAGTAACAGGGGCAGCGTTGCCAGCTGCGAGCGTGAATGCTAGAAGCTTGGGCAAGAGCAACAAAAAATACTGGTTTTTGGCGAAGCCAGCCGAGGGCGAGAGAACGAACGCCAAGCCGAGCGCACGAAACTGCCAGCGCCAGCAGAGGCTGAGACAGAGGCAGAGACTCAGACTGAGGCAGCGACAGCGACATTAGCAGAAACCAGAAACAGTTTCAGTTTGTGCTACAAACGCGTTTTGAACGGTACATGTTGCATGTGACGCGCATTCGTTGAGTGAGAGAATCGAAGCATAGAAACCAGAATAAACTCGTATCGAACTCTGAGACATAAACAATCTGAACTACCTGAAGTGAAGGTGTGCAAAAGCTGAAAGAAAAACATGTGAAGCTAACAGCAACCAAAAAAGTAATAAAATAATAATACAAAAAAAAAAGTTTGTGTTTAGTGCATGAATATAGCAAAAGAAGGCGAAATTAGTTGACAAAGACAGCGTCAATTGTGAACTGTAAAATTGTGAATTGGCAAACACACGAAAGCAAGGTGAATATATCAGCAATATGCCCAAATAAATATACATATATATATGTGTGTGTGTATAGGTTTATGTATGTATGTATATGTTAATGTGTGTGCCACAACCTGAAATTCTGTTTGTCCCTTGTGAAGTATTTTTTTGTTGCAGTTGCTGTTGTGGTTGTTGCAACTTGCAGCGTCAGTTGCTGCTCAAACGGCTCAGCCCGTTCTGAAGCCGTTCACTACTCGATGCTCGAGTCGAGTCGAGTTGAGTCGTCTGGCGTGGAATCGAATCGAGTCGAGGTACCTGTTTGCATTTTGGCCGCTTTTATAGCCCCGTTCGCCATTTCATGAACTTGGTAGTCGTTTTGCATTTGGCCGCGCTGACCAGTTGGACCAGCTCTGGGCCAGCCTTTGTTGAAAAACACTTTTCATGAGTCTCTCGATCGCAGCGCTTCTCATGCTAATTGCACATAAATGCCAATTGCATGTTTGCGCTCTCACTCTCTCTATCTCTCTCTCTTTCTGTCTCTCTATTGAAATGAAAAAGTCATAAATTGTCTATGCATAAATCCAAATTGTTATTGCCACTTAGCAACGCGAAAAGAGCTGGCCAAATGCACAAGAAACAAATAAAATAAAGTCAAATAAAGAGCAAAGTGGAAGTAAGAATAAAAACTGCATAATCTGCAAGCAGCCAGCGGGCCAGCACCTGGTGGCAGCAACAACAAAGAAAACGGCTAAAATGCAAGCCAGACAAAAAACCGGGCTAAGGCAGAGTAGAGGCAGAAGTAGAGGCAGAGGCAGAGGCAGAGACAGAGGCAGAGGCAGCGGCATCGCATGCCGAGGTCATTTTATCTTGCCCTTCCCGCACGAACTTCAAAAGCATTTCAAGCTGCGTCGTCTGTTTTTGGTCATTATGAAAAGAAAATATGCGGCAACAACTGCGACAGCGGCACAGCTCAAAAGAACTAAAATAAAAAAAAAAAAAAACAAGCGAAATTAAAAAAAAAAATAAAATTAAAAAAAAGAAGGGAAAAAAATCACATGCAGCGCGCAAAAATCTTGTAAAACTGAAAAATAGTTAAACAAAGCAACTAATGCAGCAATCTCAAAGCTGGCTCCTGGTCTGCTTTTGGCGCCCAATTGCGACAGCAGCTGCCAATCACCGTGTTTTGGCCATGTTGCATGTCAGTTGGCCTCGAGAGCGTGCTCGAAGCATACGCCAATTCAATATTCTCTGCAGCTAAAGTCTTGCTAAATTCTACTCAAATTGTTGTAATTGTGCGATAATAGGGCAAAGTTATTTGCATAAATAAGCAACTGCCTTTATTTTACCTTATAGAAAGAGAGAATATTTCTGATGGACGAAACCCTTATGCTCTTGGCATACATGTGCGGGTCGAAGCTAGAGAATACGTAGAACATGGCTAGGTTTTTGATACTCTAAGGAAATTGGATAATGAAACAGTATTATATACATATTGTCTTGAGTAATAAACATTTGCTTATAATTGTAATAATAATGTAATTTATAGTAGACAAAGTGAATATTATATAGTCTTGAGTTGGCTTGTGAAATCTATTTATTGTACTATTTATAAAGATATTTTTAGGATGCTTGAAATAATTTTATTTACTATAAATTATGTAGATCATTTTATTTAATTTATAATAT